TTTTTTTATGGAATCAACAAACACTGAGATACAAACATAATTATATTAAATGTAGTCAGAATTTAAGAGATCTTAATTGTTCTTGATATTTTTCTGTTGGAGTTTTGATTAAAGATTAATATTTTTACAAATGATGATCCTTTATCATATAAATTCTTTTATCTTGTAGACAAGTTGTAACAGACATTGTTAAGACAACAGGATTTATCTGTGATATCAACAATAAGTATCTGATCTTGTTGATAAAATCACAAGAGTTAAATATTAGGATCCTTTATATTGAAGCACATAAAATGATCTTACTCTTAAACCCAAATGATAATCATATTATATTAACCCTTGCCACTCTCAATATTTTAAATGGACTTGTCCATCTTTCATTCTAGACAAAACCATTAATCATTTTTAGTGAAATTTTCAAAATTATATGTACCAACTGAATATCAAACAGTACAGAAAATGATCAGACTGTTTACATGTTCTGGCTTATTTTGGTCTGCACTGGTTGCATCAGAGTATTTGTTTGTCGCCAGAGTTCAGCTGTTAAAATGATATTGCCATGAATAGACTTACTCGGAATTAAGAATATTTTGGGTTTTTCTCAGCTAATCTGTAGGTAACAATCAGTAATTATTTTTTTTGCAAAATCCTTAAATCTTCATTGACTCCCCCCCCCCCCCCCAAGTTATGCAAATTAAAAACGATAGAATAAAAAAAAAGATAGTCTCAGCCTTATACTGGAGTAAGTCTGGTATTTAAATTTTGTGCATTGTTATTTTCATGATTATTTCATTTCATTTTTCAAACAGTGCATCAGTGTCAGCTTTAGGTAATTTCATCTCACAGAAAGTTGCTCCACATCCAGACGGGAAAGTGAAATGGAGGAGTGTCGCTTCATATGCAACGTTCGCGTAAGTTACCATTTATTTAATTATACAAGCCAGAGTAAAGATATAAATACAATGTATTCCGTTATGGCAAATTGTGTTTGCTTTCAAAAGGTCATAGTCAAAATTTATGTATTTAAATAAAAATAAAACTCTTAAAAGAAACAGCAAATTTTGAGTTATTCTGTCCTTCCATAATTTATGGTTATGATATTTCATAGTTAGATCTAGTTAGCAAAATTTAGTCAAAGAATTAAGGTCCGAAAATTACGCCAAGTCATTAGGGCTAATGTTTTGCAATATCTACTTGCAGGATAAGGCTTTATATGCCCAAAATTGTAAAACTTTGAAAGTGAATAGTAAAATAATAAAAAAATGACTTTCGGTATACAGTTATCTTGTACTCTATTCCCTGAATTGAGGTTAAATTAACAGTTCCATTTGAAATTCCATATGAAATTCAGTCATTTTATTTTCAGAAGCAAACACTAAGGTGATTGACTGATTATTTCTCACAGGCCATTATTTTGGGCTAGTTATGTATAGAAAATGTTACATGCCTGACTCAGACTCTTCTAGCCATGGGCTCACGGGCTAGTGCTAAATGCAGAATGAAAATTTAGTTTATCATTTTAACTCTTCAATTTATTGTAATTGCTTATAAAATACGAGTCAAGCTTTATTATGTTTTAAATCTAGATTTGATATTTATCTAAGTATTATTGTGATTTATATTTCATATACATGTAATATAACCCTTGATTGGAAATATATGTGAATGAAATTCTATTCTGTTCTATCATAATATCATAATAATTTTTTTATTTTTCAAAAGAATTTATAAGTATGATAAATAAATGAATTTATGAGTTACTGAGATCAGTAATGGGTAGCTTAAAAAAAGAAATTACAAACTTCATATTTAGTTTAATTATTTTGATGATTGTAGTCTATTGCATACAAAACTTTAAATTAATATTTATAATAAAAAGTCACAATTGCTTTTTATGGTTGTGATGTTGGTAGTTTTCACTCCGGATCACAAGAGTAAGCCACATTCAATTTACCAGAGCACAGTTCAGTCGGTAAACACATTGTTCCTGGGCAGGCTGTCAAAGCAGTTTATTAATAATAGTTACCTTCACTTTCCTAAGGAACTGTTAACTTCTGTACATGTCAGAGCAGAGGAATAGTGTAAATGACCATAGAAAGGATTTCATGATTAATCACAAAGAAAGTGACCTGCACTGTTCGGGAATCAAGAATCCATGCCGCCTGATTCCCATCCATCGCTCTACCTATTGAGCTAACGGGACGGCTTTTGCTTATTATGCAGACGTAAACAGTACATATAAAATTATACTCTATATATTTCAGGTTCTGTCTAAGTGCCCTGGCTTTTGTTTTTTATATGACTAAAACAGTACATATGAAATTATACTCTATTTCATTTCAGGTTCTGCCTAAGTGCCCCTATTATCCATTATTTCTACATATTTTTGGAGAAGATACAACCCCGAAAGGAGAAACCGAGCCAGATTGATAATATTAAACGATTGTTGATTGACAGATTCTTGTTCACTCCTCCATTTATACTACTCTTCTTATACGTAGTTACCATTCTAGAGGTAACATTTCTTACTTTATTCTTAACTAGGGGTGTCATGGTGTAAATTATAACTTGAATTTTTTACTTTTCTTAATGTCGTAGATTTATCTCAAGTTTGTTTTTTGTGAAATATTTTCACTCATCTGGAGGCATGCACCTTTAAATCATCATGGGAACCCACAGTACACATTCTGTATATACTATATATTAACATGGTTATACGGTAAAAAGCCTGAGTTACCGAAGAAGCTTTAAATTTTTAATCTTGAAATCCCTAAAATGATAATCAACTGTTCCAAAATTGGAAGATGGAAGTCTTTTTAAAAAATTCAGTAAGTTAAGATAATTTTACCAAAAGAAGTGGAAAAGTTGTATTCAATGTTTTCAAAAACTATGTTTATGTATTTTATCATCGGCAGTTTTCATTTTCCACAGTTCCACCATAATTCTTTTGATTTGACAATTATATGAAACAATTCATCTAAAAGTAACATATGTTACATGTACCTTTAGAAAAGCTGAAGGCCGCTTTAAGTATATTTTGCTTAAAGATATTACCAAGAAACTTATAATGATTTAGGTATAATTGTGTATTGTATTTCATTGTAGGGTCAAGGTTCAGCGGTTGCCATGGAAAAAATACGAACCCAGTTCTGGACGATCTTAAAGATGAATTGGAAAGTGTGGACAATCTTCACATTTATAAATGTTAATTACATTCCAGTTAGAGTGAGTGCCCTTTGATTTCCTATGTGTCCTCAAAACATATATTTGGTTTAAACATATTTAAGCTTGATTGTCAAAGCAATTTCTTGCAACTTATATTAATCACGTTGGCGTCTGTCAGATGCTTATCTCATAGATAGATGCTTCAACGTAAATAATGTCATAAATGTAGCAAAATGTAAACTGTATTTCAGTACTGTGTTATATTATTTCTATGTATCTGTAGTTCAGTACTGTGTTATATTATTTCTATATAAGTACTGTGTTATATTATTTCTATATATCTGTATTTCAGTACTGTGTTATATTATTTCTATATATCTGTATTTCAGTAAGTACTGTGATATATTATTTCTATATCAGTACTGTGTTATATCATTTCTATATATCTGTATTTCAGTACTGTGTTATATTATTTCAATATCAGTACTGTGTTATATTATTTCTATATATCTGTATTTCAGTACTGTGTTATATTATTTCAATATCAGTACTGTGTTATATTATTTCTATAAACCTGTATTTCAGTACTGTGTTATATTATTTCTATATAAGTACTGTGTTATATTATTTCTATATATCTGTATTTCAGTACTGTGATATATTATTTCTATATCAGTACTGTGTTATATTATTTCTATATATCTGTATTTCAGTACTGTGTTATTAGCTCACCTGTCACAAAGTGACAGGGTGAGCTTTTGTGATCGCTTTTCGTCCGGCGTCCGTCCGTCCGTCGTCCGTCCGGCGTCCATCCGTCCGTAAACTTTTGCTTTAAATGACATCTCCTCATAAACCACTGAGCCAATTTCATCCAAACTTCACAGGAATGTTCCTTTGGTGGTCACCTTTAAAAATTGTTCAAAGAATTTAATTCCATGCAGAACTCTGGTTGCCATGGCAACCAAAAGAAAAAACTTTAAATATCTTCTTTTAAAAAACCATAAGAGCTAGAGCTTAGATATTTGGCATGAAACATCTTCTAGTGAGTGTCTACCAAGTTTGTTCAAATAAAAGCCCTGGGGTCAAAATTGGCCCCGCCCGGGGGGGTCATTGATTTTTCCTATATGCATATAGTAAAAACTTAAAAAATCTTCTTTTAAAGAACCCAAAGAGCTAGAGCTAAGATATTTAGCATGAAACATGTTCTAATGGGTGTCTACCAAGTTTGTTCAAATAAAAGCCCTGTGGTCAAAATTGGCCCCGCCCCTGGGGGTCATAGATTTTTCCTTTATGCATATAGTAAAAACTTAAAAAATCTTCTTTTAAAGAACCGTAAGAGCTAGAGCTTAGATACTTGGCATGAAACATCTTCTAGTGAATGTCTACCAAGTTTGTTCAAATAAAAGCCCTGGGGTCAAAATTGGCCCCGCCCCAGGGGGTCATTGATTTTCCCTATATGCATATAGTAAAAACTTAAAAAATCTTCTTTTAAAGAACTCAAAGAGCTAGAGCTAAGATATTTAGCATGAAACATGTTCTAATGGGTGTCTACCAAGTATGTTCAAATAAAAGCCCTGGGGTCAAAACTGGCCCGGGGGGGGGGGGGTCATTGATTTCCCTTATATGTGTATAGCAAAAACTTAAAAATCTTCTTTGGAAAAACCCAAATAGCTAGAGTTTAGATATTACGCATGAAACATCTTTAAATAAATATCTACAAAGTTTGTTAAAATAAACGCCCGGGGGTTAAAACTGGCCCTGCCCCAGGGGTGTCATTGTTTTTAACTATATGTGTATAGTAAAAACTTTAAAAATCTTCTTTTAAAAAAGCCAATGAGCTAGAACTTAGATGTTTAGCATGAAACATCTTCTTATGGGTGTCTACCAAGTCTGTTCAAATAAACAAATAAAAGCCCTTGGGTAAAAATTGGCCCGGGGGTGGGGGGGGGCCTATATACAGGTGAGCGACCTCAGGGCCATCATGGCCCTCTTGTATTATTTCAATATTAGTACTGTGTTATATTATTTCTATAAACATGTATTTCAGTACTGTGTTATATTATTTCTATATACCTGTTTTCAGTACTGTATTATATTATTTCTATTTATCTGTATTTCAGTATCATGTTTTATTTTGCTATGTATTTGTATTTCATCATTGTATTATATTATTTCAATATTTTTGTTTTTCAGTACCGTGTATTATTTGGAAACATGGTTGGACTGTTCTGGTCAGTGTTTGTTGCAGTGAAAAGACGTCAGATGGGAGTGTGAGAAATCTAAATATAGACATGTGTATATAGTGACCATTCATTGGCTGCATTTAATCATGTGATATAATTATACTGTATGTTAAGTACAGTCAATAACCCTGTCATCCTGCATAGTTATTGTGTATATATGTATTTGTCAAATGTTGGTGAATCTTGAAGCAACCTTTAGCTTTTATTTTTTGTCGGAAAAACAATTTTGTGTTGTGGTTTATACTAAGTATTTCAGTAACTTCATCTTGAAAAAGTGCATGATATCACTGTCTTCTTTAATACAGCATCCTGAGAGCTATTTATAAGGCAACAGTGATGTTTGTTTCTAAAAATAGAAGATCGGAAAATGAAGCGTCTGATTTACTAATTTACATTTAAAGAGCATACCAAAGATAAGAGGTATCAAGGGATTTCCTTATTGTGTATGTATTTTAAAGATGGCAAATTTCATTTTCTGCCTTAATTCTTTTGATTGACAATTACCGGGATATATGAAACGATTTATCAAAAAATAACCTATTTAAGCTTTACAAAAGCTGAAAGTCGCTTTAATCATTGGTCTATGATAAAAGTGTCAAAGCAGCTGAATCACACAAGATTTAAACCGATTTTTTTGAAATTTTGAAAAATGTTTACGTTTACTTACTATGATACAAACAAATATTGACATGCGAACAAATAAAGACATTCAACCCTGCATAAGGCACTTACAATGTACATATACTTGATTTACCTAAAATATCCCTTACTCAGGATGTAACCATAGGAAGTCTGGAACAGGACCGCATATTGCGGCGCATAAATCCGAATCCGTACCGGCTTCATATATTGTTTGTCCGACCTTTGAATATCTTTTCATATTATGCGAGCGGGTGGTCTTTAATTATCTAATCTAAATTTAATATAATCTGATAATTTAAAAATCAGTCAAATTTACGGTATATTGAAAAAAGAAAAGGAGTGACATCCGCCATTTGCCGCAACGTTCGGCGTAAGTTACCCCCCTTGATATGCTTGATTTTTGTTTTAATTTTTCTAGTACTCTCTTTATGTCACTCAATACATGGGAAACTTTCACATTTCCTAATAAGGAATACCAGATGAGTGCCTTGAATACTTATCTATGGATCATGTTTTAATATTCCTTTTTTTAGTTAGGCAAAATCTATTAGACCATATTACTAAAGTGTCTGTTTTCTCCATGTAAACAAATCATAACACGAATACGCCCGTTATAATGCCGCCTATACATGTCAAACACTAGTGCATGTCAACCCGTGTAAACAATAAACCGTTACGATACCTGATAGTTGACAACGATAACGGGAACAAAATTCTGAAAAAATAGTAATCAAGTGTAGCCAAAGGGGGAAAACTCATGCCAAACGTTGCGGCAAATGGCGAATGTCACTCCTTGTCTTTTTTTAATACCGTAAAATTTGACCAGTTTTAAAAGTAACAGATTGGGTTCAAGTGATAATATATTGTTTGAGGCCATATGCTCGGATAATACTTAAGATATTTAGATGTAGCAGAAACGTTTTTAAAAACCGTTACACGATCGAAAATATGCGCCGCAATCTGCGGTCCCGTTCTCGAGTTCCTATGGATGTAACAGGGTACAAAAATGTTGAAAAATTATTTAAATAGTTGATTTTTCATTTTTGCATATTACCTCCTAGATGAAAGGCATTGAACGAATTTTGATATATTTCATGGATATTTCTTAAATTATTTTCTGATGTTGGATTTTTTTAAAACTTTTAGACTTACCTTTTGGAGGTATGTAGTTTTAAATAAATGATAAAGGAATCAACGATTAATGTTTTTTATTGTACTACTCAGTCTGGTACTGGACAGTTTCATGCTTATAGCAATAATCAGGTACAAATGGTGTTGTTTAAGTAAGGGGAAATAACTTTTACCTGGTTTTACAAAAGGGAGACTACTTTTGAAAACAATCTATCCCTGCACTATATCATGTCTATTTTCATGTTTCGCAATAAGTTTTTGCTTAAATGTTGAAGTGTAGCTTTAATATTTTATTTGAATCTTTGCAAGATTATTGATAACTGTAAATACATGCCTGATAATTTGAAACCTGACAAATTTATTGTCTTTTTTTTCCATTTGCTTGGTAATAAATAAGTATAATTGGTCTTTAAGGGCATTTGTGGTAAAAAAATCTTACTTGGTTGACTTATTACCAGTGCTTCCTAATACATTTAATGTTACCATAGTAACTAAGTGAAGCAGAACTGCCATACTAAGGTTGTACATGTCCTATGAAAATTAAATTATATAACTTAACAAAAATGTTATTACTTTTAATATCTATATTTAGAGATCTATATTTTTGATTTTTTTGTTAAGAATGAAACCTATTATTGTAAAGTAATTATCATGTTTATCCCGATTTTGTACCTTTTCTTTTTATCGTTATTATTTTTTTTTAATTCTAGCATGTTAGTTATGTTTTTGCTACGTAAATATACTGTATTGAAATACATATGTAGATGATTTAATAAGTCGCGTTTTTTCTGTATTTTAGCAGAATTTTTTTTCTACATGTGTTTATATTCACGACAGATGCTTTATTGTTTTGATCTGTGTCATTGAAAGCTCATGAAGTTATATAATACATGTATATGTGATTATATATATAATATTTCAAGGTCAATAAATTCTTTATGCTGCAAATATATTTATATCATTTGAAGCTACGGATTAAATACATAATCTATAGCCGGCCCGGCTTAGCTCAAGAGCAAGACCATTGGTTTTGTAACCAAGGGGTTGCAGGTTTGATCCTTTGGCAAGGGGAAAGAACTCTTTGACAATTGATCAAGGACATTAAGTGTAATGGTCATTAGAGGCTCTCCCCTGATGCTAAAATCATGTGAGATTCTTAGTTGTTCTCTTGCAGGTAAATTTACATTTTTGTTTATTTTTATAACCTCTTCGATACCACTTGAGGCCAAAAATATATTTTGATCATGTAAATCTTCGAAATATATTAATGCTATTAAAATAAGGACTTACCAATAGTTAATAATGAAAATGTTTAGGTTAAAATATAAAATATAAAAATTACTAACTTAGCATAATTATAAAATGACTGCCCCACTCTATTTAAAATTTGAACGCTACCAATACATTTTGAACCGTACTTGTATTTATAGAAATTTTCATGTGGATTATTGATTACTTTTGCATTGTGAAATATAAATTTGAACATATTATTTGACATGATAATTAGTATATCCCTTCCTGGACATGAGTTTGTGATATAAATGTTGTTGTTGGTTTTTTTTCATGATCAAGGACTGGAAAGGGTCCTATAGACAATTTGTGTTATGTTCATTAAAGGCCCATTAATTCCCAAAAAATATGTCACTACAGAGTCGAATACACTTCAAAAGTATGGTAAAGGTTTTTACATCTTATTACATCAAACAGTATTTTTGTAACATTTGTTGTAAATTTCTATAATTACAGGTAATTTTAGTATTTTGGTATATTTATGTGATAATTTGAAATGATTGTGTACATGTATATGGAATTATTTACATGATATATAATGAGGTTAAGTGTTATAATTGTTTTTTTCTAGAAATATATTTGAATCAAATAAAATTGTTTAAGCAGTATATATGTTTGTTCTTTAAAAAAAAACTCTTCAATTCCACTAGTGGCACACAGATATATCTTGTTTATTCAAAATTTTGGGTGTATTAAATATATACGATGCTCATTTTATTAAAAAGAATAATCAAAGAAATTTATTGATTTCTATGAAATACTTTCTGAATTTGTCTTAATTTGAATAAATAGAATATACAAACTATTCATTGGAAGTTGCATTCACTGTTACTGGTTAAGTAAAGTTTGTCCTTGTAATATTGTGCCTATTTATAGTAAAAAAAAACATATCTACTTGTTTGAAGTCAAAACAGCAATCTACGGAATTAGACCCCTCCGTAGACTGCGGGGTCTATTCCAGAATATAGCAGTCAAAACGTTATTATTTATAAAGATACTGTGTTATTGTAATACCAATATTTTCAAATATCAAATTTAAGCATAGTGTATCTTTAATGCACAACAACTGTCGTCTACTGTGAAAGAACTGGTCTAACTTACTTCAAATATGCTGTGTAGCAACCTTGTATGCCACATAAAGTTCTGAAATATGCCAGTGGTAAGAGATTAGTACACGGCAGACTACGACCAGAAGGTGACAATCGACCCACTAAATGAATAATATCCCTGGAGAGCTTCACTTTATTGAAAGCTGTACATGTAATACTATTTTCAAAAACTTTCATATTTCTGTCGTTATAAATTCCCATGACAGTCTAGAGAGCTTTAATTGGGCTTGCTTTTTCTCACTGTAGGTTCTTACAGCGCAAGCGTCTGGGACTTTTTCATGTGAGAAAGCTATTCAGCAAGTTTACGGAACGTCGTTGGTTCTACTCGGGCGTCTGTTTGTTATTGAAATAACGCATAGAGGTCTTTCCTCCACCAGTAAAGCTGGAAAGTCGTTATATGACATATACTGTGTGGTGGCGAAAAACCCCGAAAAAGAATCTAGTCGTACTTTTTTCTCAGAATAAAACTTCATGTTTTTCTTTTCTTTTGAGTTTCAATAAAGCTGTGTGTTTATATGTCACCAAATATCAACTTGTGTGTTTTGTTTTACTAGGAGACACATCTCGGGTGATTTTTCTACGGTGTAGGTAATGTTGGCTCATTTTATCTTGCCATGTTCCATTGTCCTATAACCTTTCCTTTGGATCAAGACAAATAATAGTTCAAAAAGCTCTGTTAAAAGTGAACCATCGAAAAGGTTCTGGCACCATCGGCAATGTGAAAGAGCCGTCGGCGAATACCATTCTGCAATACTACGTGATAATTTTGTGGAAATATACCGATAAACATTGAATTTATGTATATAGACTCAATTGCATGAATTTATCCATGAAATGTTTTATCTTTACGTATGTGAACTATTTTTTTCATTACCCATAATTGTATAATTAGAATCTTATAACAGATGGTAAGAGATGGAAAAAATAGTTTTTAGCACGATGAAGAAAACAATGTAAAAGATTTTGTCAAAATAATGAGTATTAATTAAAGAAACACTGAGAACATAAAATATGGTTTACTACTAAACGACACTCTTCATTCAGCTGACAATAAAACATCTAAAACATCATTGAATACCACAATTCCAATGCTATTTATTTAGAACTATCATCCAGGAATAGATAATATACAGTACAAAAGTAAGACAGGTGATGGGGAGAAAAACGACAAGTTCTAATTTGATTTAAAAGATATTTATAATCAGTAAATTATATTAAAGAACTTTCGTTGATAATATACTAGTACTTGAATTATCTTTCTGACATCTTAGTTTTTATTTTAAAATAACTGATTGTCATATAACAACTTTTCTCTCTCTTTTACTTCAGGTGGATACTTCCGGTTGTATCGTCTGCTGGTACTCTGTCATATCTATAAGAATATAGAAATAACTTATTTAAAAATTTAAAAATGTATAACTGACATTTCTATGTTACATGTATATTCTAATGTATAAACAAAATATACTGCTTTTATATGAAAAAAAAAGAGGAAATGATTTTTTTTCTTAAATTAATGTTGTTTTAGTGGGCGTGTATCTTAAAGGCCTGTTTAGTGACAAAAAATTACAGTATATTTTTTTTCTTTTCTTAAAACCTGTATATTACAGTGTCTTCAAAGTTACTCATTGACCATAAAGCTGGACCATCTTTTACTTCTATTGAATTTTAGAGTTTATATAGTGATTAAGTATTCTGTTTAAAGTTCTGATTAACTTACCCAGAATGAATCTCACTGTTACAATAGATGGACATTATCCCAAACGAACCTACATCATCCCACTCGTCAATGATCTTCTCGTTTCCCGCTCGTTGACTGTCGTCTGCAGATACATTTTGATCGTCTGCTGTTGTGATTTCAGTCATGGGCTCGTTTTGGAGGCTTAGATTGAATATCTGCAGTACTTCAGATACTTGGTGTTCAAACACGCCATGCGGTTGTTTATTTGTTGACTTCTCAAATATGTTTCCCGTTCGTTGACTGTCGTCTGCAAATACATTTTGATTGTCTGCTGTTGTTGTGACATTAGTCACGCGCTCGTCTTCGAGGCTTAGATTGAATATCTGCGGCACTTTAGATACTTGGTGTTTAAACACGCCATTTGTTGACTTCTCAAATATGTTGAAGTAATGTCTCTGTTTAGAGTTTAATTTTCCGACAGTGATAAATTTGCGTGATGGTTTCGTCCATATGTCTAAAGTGTAATGTTTGGTTATTGGACACATGCCAGTTGCTAGTGAAAGGATACCAATTATATCTTGAAATGCCAACATATAGACTATTGGATGTATTGGCCGAGTGTATCCAATCAGATTTTCGTCTGCTGGAAAACCATAAACTTCCTTTGATATCAGTTTTGCATATATTAAGAACTGATATGCGTAGTTGTTGACTATTTTCTTCAGATATTTCAATGCAGCAGTAATGTTTATTCCGCAAATTGATGAGTACCTTTTTGTACATGGGACTGTTTCTGTAAATGGTACTATTGAAGCATTAGTGCGATTGATTCCTGGTGAATTCTGGGTAATTGTAGACTTATTTTGCGGGTATATTTCTTTGAAGAAAATTGGCATGTCTCTTAAACAAAGATCAAAATTTCCATATTGCAAAGGATTGAGATTTTCGTATGTCCATAATTTTATATTGTTAGCAATCGGATGAAACTGACATCCGTCATTTCCTTGTCATACAATATTGTCGCCTGATTCCCGCTGTAATATATTGTCGAATATTTCTTGCTTCAAAATATTGTCGTCTGCTTCGTGATGTAGCAAAGCGATGCCTGTAAAAATGGCTGGACATATTTTGTCGTCAGGGGATGAGGAACTATCATCGAGAGTTGCTGGAAATTGGCTAGCTTGATCAAACAGTGTGTCATCAACGATATGGCCGATATGTGACTCAATAACTTCTTTACCTACAGAAGTTTCTTTGCCGCTTTCCACACCATCCATATCTTTCTTAATTACCTCATCGTCGTTTTCCTTTGTTGTCAAGGTATTGATACCACTATCGAATGATCTGACTTTTCTATTTTTACCAATACTTGCGGGTCTAACACCAAAACTATAAAGTTCTTCACCTTGTGAATCATCGTTCACTTCCGAGTACTTGATATCAATTTTCGGTTTTTCAATATGTCTTAAAAAAGCGTCTACACTATTACAGAAATTATAGTATGAACGGTTTGGTTTTACTATACTCTTTCTGGCTTCTTTTTCCTCGCTGAAACGGTCTTTTAGTTTACTTAAAAGACTTTCAACCTTACTTTTCATTTCTTTCTCGTCAACTTTTCCAGATACTTTCCAATCAATTTCCTTTTCCTCCTCTAATTTTCTCATCATTCTCCGCCTTTCAAGCACGCTGACAAATCTTTCACTGGTATCGTTATTGATAGAATCATCTTCCTCTGTAACTTTAGATATGTCAACAATGACATCTGATATATCAGGACCATCTCCCGCACCATCCGTGTGTGGTAAGTGACCTGCATTCTCTAACAATTCGCTGTTGATACCTCCATCCGTTTTTGGACAACACAATTCTGAAATTGAGAAAAAAGGAAAACTTAAAAAAAAAACAATTACATAAAATGGTGGACAGGAAACGAACGAACGCACGCACGCTAGACGCACGCACCAACGAACGAACCAACAAACAGATAAATAAATAAATGCATTATCAGAAGATATTCATTTTTTTTCTATAAATACAGGATTTATGTTCATTGAGTGGTATGAAAATAAATATGTGTGTCGGTAGTCCGGCACGACTTCAGTGAAAATATGTTTCAATGCAGTGAAAAATAATTTTTACCGTGAAAATACGGAAAATGAAAATACTTATTTTATTTCATCAATATTTCCCAATATTTCATTAATTTTGATATTATTTAATAAATAAATAAATAAATAAACTAATTAATATAAATAAATATATAAATGAATCAATTTATATATATATTTATATATTTATAATAATTTAAGAAAATATTTCAAATTGATTCTACACCCCTACTGTCAGCACTTATTTCATCCAGTTTATTTCTGGATAATAACAAATGTAAAGCAAACGTCTTACATACCTTTCAAATAATCTGTATATAGGTTTTCCATGCTTATTTTATAAACTTGTTGCTTTTCCGTTTCTTGGTGACATCCTTATATAATTATTTACTTTCCTGCGTTTAAAAAGCGGCTGTCGATATGTTTTTGTATAGCTTACTGAAACCCATAGAGCTAACGTCTTTTTACGCTACGTTTTATGACGTCATGACGCTATTTTTGACATAACGTTCAGGGGCGACTACTATGGAAATTGCGTAGTTTAAAGTTCTTTCCCTTTACACAGCTATGATTTTTTTCTCATGAAAATGAAGGAAATTTGTTATGTTAATATAGTACAAATATTATTATGTGAACAAATGAAAACATACAAGCTTGCATAAGACATTACAATGTACATAATTTACCTAAAATATCCCTTACTCAGGATGTAGATATCCCTTACTCTGGATGTAACAGGGAACAAAAATGTTGAAAATAGAGGATATTGAATGAGTGTTAGTTTAATACTGAATTTATTGAATGAAGACTGATACATGTACTATGCTCGCCCTTGACCGAGCTGAATCACGGACTTTAATTGAAAATTTAAGTCCGTGGTTGAAAAAAGCTCGCCTGATATAGAGGATATTATGGTGGCTGATTTGTGCCATTCGTGTTTTTGCCCCGCGACCCCGCGAAGCGAAAAGTCGAAAATTAAGAAGTTAAACTGGCGGGCGCGCGGAGCGAAAACACGCTAATTAACGAAAGCGCGGGACGAAGTTTAATAAATAAAACGAGCGAGATTTAAGAAATAAAACGGCGGGGTCGCTGGACGAAAACACGCTAATTAACGGGGTCGCGGAGCGAAGTTCAAGAAATTAAACTTCGCCGCCCGCCCCCGCTAATTAGCGTGTTTTCGTCCGCGCCCCCGCCAAGCGAAAAGTCGATAATTAACAAGTTAAAATCGCGGGGGCGCGGAGCGAAAACACGCTGATTTATTAAACTTCGCCCCGCGCCCCGCGCGAAAATTTTTGGACTTGGTTGACCAGTGCTTTCTGAACAGCTTTTCTGACACATTTAATGACACCATAGTAACTGAGTGAAGCAGAACTGCCATACCAAGGTTGTACATGTCCTATGAAAATTAAATCATAAAACTTAAAAAGAAATATTTTTACTTTTAATATCTATATTTAGATATCTATATTTTTGATTTTTTATTAAGAATGAAACCTATGATTGTAAAGTACATGTAATTTTCTTGTTCATCATGCCTTTTTGTACCTTTTTTTCATTCTAGTATGTTAGTTTTGATTTGCTACATAAATATACTTTATTTAATTATACATATGTAGATGATTTAATAAGTCACATATTTTCTGTATTTTTACAGATTTTTTTTTACATGTGTTTATATTCAAGACAGATGCTTTATCTTTTTGATCTGTGTCACTGAAAGCTCATGAAGTTATATAATACATGTATATATAATTATACATATTGCAAGGTCAACACAATTTTTATGCAACAAATTTATTTATATCATATCATACAATTTGATACAAACCTTTGAAATCTATAGCTGGTCGGCTTAGCTCAAGAGCAAGACCATTGGCTTTGTAACCAAGGGGTTGCAGGTTCGATCCTTTGGCAAGGGGGAAATAACTCTATGACAATTGACCTCGGACATTGAGCATAGATGTAGTCGACTTCACCCTGATCTGAATTGGTGTGGGTGATTAGTTGGTCACGTCATGCAACTCATTTATTAATTACATTTGGTTAATTATTTATATTCTTCTCTTGTTTGTTTAATATGTTAATATATCTTTTTTATATATCATATTGGTTGTGCTAGATTATATATTTATCAATTATTGTTTTTTTATTTTATAACATCTTCCTATTATTTCCACTGTATATCTTATCTATGTTATATTATATTTTTCTTTGTCATTGAAAATCTTTTTGACTATAATGCTTTCATATATTATGACTACCAAATAGTTTAATAATAAAAACGTTTTTTAGGTTAAATTATAATAAGCTACTAACTTAACCGTAATTTATAAAAATGACTGGCCTCTATTTTGTTTAAATTTTAACGCTACCTAATACATTTGAACCGTAGCTTTGTATATTTATAGGAAATTTTTTCATGTGGATTATTGATAACTTTTGCATTGTGAAATATAAATTTGAACGTATTATTTGACATGATAATCGGTATATTCCTTCTTGGACATGAGTTTGTGATATAAACGTTGTTCCTTTTTTTTCATGATCAAGGTCTGGATAGGGTTCTATAGACAACTTGTGTTATGTCCATTAAAGGCCCATTAAGTCCCAAAAATATGTCAAAAAAGAGTTGAATTTCACTCAAAAGTATGGTAAAGGTTTTTACTTTTTATTTTATCAAACAGTATTTTGTAAGATTTGTTGTAAATTTCTATAATATCAGGTAATTTTAAGTATTTTTTGGTAAATTTATGATTGTGATAATTTGAAATGATGATTGTATACATGTTTATGAAATTATTTACATGAATGTGGATAATTGTAGTAAAGTTGTTTTTTCTAGAAATATATTTGAATCAAATAAAATTGTTTTAAGCAGTATTTACTTGATTGGATTTTTGTAACCTCTTCTTCACCACTCGCAGTGAGATGGAGGGTCAACACAGATATATCTCGTCATGTCAAACTATCGGCTAATTAAAGATGTATTAAGCTCATCTTTAAGTAAAATATTTTTATTGCAGAAATTTATTTATTTATTTCTATGAAATTCTTACTGAATTTGTTTAATTTTGATAAAAGGAATATACAAACTACATGTATGCATAGGAAGCTGCATTCCTTATTACTAGTCCAGTAAAGTTGGTCCTTTCTTAAAAATAAATGCCAGGTTTTTAGCTCACCTTACAGACGTGGTCAAGTTGAGGTATAGTGATAGACTATGTTCGGTGTGCGTCATCGTCATTCGTCATCAACAATTTGGTTGTTAACACTAGCAGTCACAGTTTTGATTGGATCATCAAACTTTGTCAGAATGTTTGTCTCAATTAAATAAAGGTCGAGGTCGAATATGGGTTATCTCAGGTCAAAAACTAGGTCACAGGAGATAAAGATAGAAAAATCCTGTTTACACTCTAGTGGCTGCAGTTTTGATCCAAATATTCTGCAAATTGGTCAGGAATGTTGTTTTGATGACTTCTGATCAAGTTCAAATATGGGTCATCTCTGGTCAAAAACTAGGTCACAGGAGCTAAAAATAGAAAAATCTTCTTAACACTAGTGGCTGCAGTTTTAATTCAAATATTCTGAAAATTGGTCAGGAAGGTTGTTTTGATAACTACTAGTACTATGTCAAGTTCGAATACGGGTCGTCTCGGTCAATAAATCATGTAATAGGAGCTAAAAATACAAAAATCTTGTTAACACTCTAGTGGCTACTGTTTTGATGCAAATATATTGGAAATTAGTCGGCAAGTTTGTTTTGATCAATTTTCTATGTCAATGTTCGATTTGTGTGTCACCTGAGTCAAACTTAGTCACACTTGCCCAACATATTTGTAAAAACGTTGTTTTAACTACTTAGAGTTTCACATTTTTGAATCTATTAATTTCATCAAATCTTTGGTCAGTTGATGTCTGTCTATAGTAATTGCTCTTTTCCTTTTTTTTTTTATTATGTTTCGATCTGGTCAGGTGAGCGATCTCGGGCCATCTGGTCCTTTAGTTTAATGGCAATGCTAGTCCACTATTAATATCAATATTGTGCACGCCTCTGGTGGGGACCACCAAAACGGACAACCACCAACAACGGACGCCCCGAAAATCGCTTACATTAATAATATTTTTCTTTGTTCATTGGTTGTCGATCTATCAGTCACTTATACAACAATAAATGCAGTTTCTTCTCTAATTAGAGAAATTAGATTATATTTCATATGTAATATTTTTAATGTCTATTTTCAAGAATGTTGACATTGAAAATTTGGGGGGTTAGTGCAATACCTGAACCTCATATACCAGCTAAAAATCAATTTGCAAACTAAACAATAGAATAACCAAAACGTCAGCATTTGCTGCTGAAATATTGTATATCATGTTAAAAAAAATTCAAACGCCCTAGCATTTAAATGAATTAAATCATGTACATATCTGTCCGGACACATGGTACTGTAATGTAGACAATAAAGGTAATTTTGATACCCTCTTTTATAAGTGTCAATATAATCAGAAATAAACAAACTAGTTTGTTAGTCCAGAGAAGAAACTAGCTGTACTGTGTCAAATTTTCAGGTCTCTAGGTTTGAAATTATGAAATATTTATGGAAAAATGTTCAAAATGTGTCCGGTTGATGGTCCCTGACCAGTTTAGTGTGTAGAGTTTAAAATATAACACATGTACATGTTTGAAATCAAAATATGTTTATTTCATAATTATCATTATTTACAAAGATCAAATTGGTATTAGTACTAGTATATCTTTAATGTTCAAACAATGTCCTTTGCATGGAAGTTACTGTCCTAACGAGCTTCAGATATCCGTGTAGTGACCTTGTTACAGAGTAAGCCAGTAGGTAAATAAGCGCTGAGTAGGGATTTGGAAGGTGACAATCGGCCCAGCTAGAATGAATAGTGGATCTCTCAATGCTTCACTAAGTTATATATATATATATATATATCAGAGTGTTTTCAGATACTCAATATTTCGCGCTGACAGTCTATGAAGGTCGTGGCTTTAACTTTCGATCGCTTCTCTGGATAAGAGCAGTCGCGAAAACGTCTCGGAATTCTTTTATTGAGAGAAGCTTATCCAAGGGCGTATATCAATGGAACGTCGTGGTTTAACCAGGAGCCTGTGTGTTATTAGAAATAATGTACAGAGGTCTTCCTCCACCATAAAGCTGGAAAGTCGTTATATGACAGAGTATACGTGTCTGGCCGAAAAACCCCGAAAAAGAATCTATCGTGACTTGTTGTTTCTCAGACATAAAACTCATGTTTTGTTTTCTTTGATGTTCAATAATGCTGGTGTGTTAGAAGTGTTCACCAAATAACTTATGTTTTTTGTATTAATAGGAGACATATGTTGAGCTGATTTATCTACGGGTGTAGTGAAATGTTGGCCATTTTATCGGTGTCATTGTACGCAGTGTCCTATAGGTTTGGGACGCTTGTCCTTCGCATCAACAGCGAAAATAAATTTCACAAAAGCTCTATTTAAAAATAAATACTCATGTGATAGAGCCGTCAAAAAGGTGCTCGCGCTATTAGCAATCGCTGGTCACTACCATTCAATAAGACTTGTAGAATAATATACCGAGTAATATTGTAATGAGCTTTAATTTGCATGACTTGATTTAATGGTTTCAAAAATATTGTTCAATCAAAATCTTCAAAAGTGTTGACATGTAACTAGTGTTTTTGTTTTCATCTACGTGCATATTGTATATTTACAATCTTAATTAAGATGGTAAGTAGATGGAAAAGTAGGTTTTTAGGCAGCGAAATATACTACGTTACCTAGCACAAGTGATATTGTCTTTACGAACACAATGAGCATGGGAATTAAAAGACTTGGGCAAACCAATTTGTTCTGGCGGGGTTTCGCGGTTTCTGCCTAAAACGCCACTGTTCTTTGTTCAGCTGGCAATAAAACATCTAAAACATCATTGAATACCGATACCATTGCTATTTAGTTAGAATTATCATCTAGGTATAGATAATATGCCCAACGCACATTCCCTCAAACTAAAAGGACATTACAAATGTAAGACAGGTGATGGGG